CGTGGGTGTATTTGTTCTTTGTGCTACATTCTCAAAGGTCACGAGAGCCATTAGGAATGTTGGTAGCACCAGTTGGGGGTATGGTGAGGGTCAAGTGATGGAAATCCCATTTATTAAATGAAGCGAAACGAATTCGATACGAACTGAATTTGTGGCAGAGCAAAAGGGGCGGCTCTTAATGTGCCATAGGAGAGGTCTAGGAATTTTTTGGGACTTTCTTATAAATGGCTGGCAGTATACCACCCAGTATACCCTATAAATTACACTTGCTAAGTTTTAATCTAATCAATAATTGAATCTATTCTATTGCAATGCAAATTACACATCATGAAGTGGATTGTTTGACTGATTGATTGATTGGCCATAGCGCTGCTGACAATGTGATCTTTATGACTCGATTCGATAGTTCTGGCTAGCGATGGATGATATTTCATACACGTAAGACATCGAGGGCTTTACCTTTGGCGAGATGGGCGGATAGAACGGTGGCAGTTCGTGACAATTTGGACACCAGGCCATGTCTGATGGATTGCTCTGTATATCTCGTTTCCAATTAGACCCCTTGATGTTGTCGTTGTGGTTCTGCCTCTCCCTCTGCCACTGGCACTGGCTCTGATTCTGGTTCTAGTTGCGGTTGTCGTTCTTGTGGTTGTGATTGTGTTTGTGCCCTCCGTTCTCATATTCGCTTTCTTCAGGGTGGCGTGTGTGTGTGCGTCAAATGGGAAAGTGTATGGTTTTTTCTTGGCGGTTTTGAGGTGTTGCGGTTTCAGGTGTGTGTGTGTGTATGTGAGTTGTTCTAGTGGGCGAGGGAGTACTCACCTAGTACAGGCTAAACCACCGAGGCAGGGCTCCAGGGCTGCCAACATTCACACGCTCAAATCGCACATCAATGTGTAGACGATTTGTGGGCTGTCGTTCTTACTTCTGCTGCTGATGCTGCTTCTGGTCCGCACAAAAGTTGAAACGTAGAAATCCTATGCTTGACTTCTCCTTGATAATTTTCCTGGCTGGTTATTTCATATTTGCATTAAATATTTGACTGCAATTTATTTTATTTTACTTGATTTTCTCTAGATTACAATTCCCTTATCACCATCATTAATATTATCAGTTTCATTGTGCGCTTGTTTGCTTAGTTGTTAATTTTTGTAAATCTGATCGATAGTTTTTTTTTTTTTTATTTGAATTTCAATCAATTAAAAATTCTGTTTATTCACACTGCTCATTTTGTTGTCGTTCCTTTTTTCCTTTGATAACGCTGCTTGCCTATGAAATTTTCCTCGTTCAGTTGCTTGAAAATGTGTTAAGCTGCAAGAGATTTATGTTGAGTTGATTTTGAGGGGGCAAATATTGAATAATATTTAAATTGACATGGGCAATTAATTATGACTTTTAGTCGCGTTGTCAGTGGTTTTTTATTCAATGATTCGTTTATAATTTGTTTATGTTCGTTTTCATTTCACTAATTAGTTTTGTCACACAGTTTTTATTTCGTTTTCACTTAAATTTTGCATTTTAATTTACAATTTTCGTAAAATTTACAAAAAAAAATAATCTATTTTTTTTGTTAAATGTGCATTCATGTGCACATGTGCATTCAGAAGGAGGAAGTACAAGGCGGCCAAGTAAATAAATAAATAAAGACGCGAAACAAACGTCAAAGCAAAAACAGCAGCTTCTCTTTTTATCACTCGTTCTCTCTCTCATGTTCTACTCTCCCACGATGGCTCTCGCTCTCTTCCCGTTACAAAATGGCGCCTGCGCCTTGTTCCGTTTCCGAATTTCGTACAAACGGAAGCTTTTTCTTTTATTGGGGAACGTCGCACATAAATTTTTGTTAAGCATACGCAATGTTGTAGCCAAAATAGTATTCAAAAATATATTAATACATTTTTAATTATTTTAAATTTGGATAGTTTTAGTAGTTCCTAAATGTTACTAAATGAGCAGCAAGAGTCTTTTACGGATACAGACACTGTCAGACACTGGAGTCCTGGTACCTCTGCTCGTTTAAACTGTGCTAGTCACTGTGCAGCTCCCTGCGGCATGTCGTTGAAACGGAAACACACTGCCCTAGTTTTAGTTTCCCTTCGTGTCACAGACACACACAAGCACAAGCTCACCCGCACACAAACACATACACCTTAACACAGGTATGGACAAAGGGGCAAACATTCATGCAGTTAACAAGCTGCTTAACTTGACTGCAAACAATGGAAAGCAGGACAAATACCGAGTGAAATAAAAGTTGCATTTTCATAATAAATAATCGGGCGACACAAATTCCGAGCACGCCACGGTCCTGCAATTGCCTGCAATTCTCTCAAAAAAGCGGTGGGAAATGGCGAAGGGTCGGGCGCGGGCTCCCGAAAACAGGGCCACTGAAGGGGAAATGTAAACAGAGCTGAAGACTCGTTCTGGCCGCGCATTGAACTCGGAGCTTCGGCTCGGGGTTTAATTTCTTTGTAGGTATCTACTCCCTGATACGCACACATACGCGTGCACTGGGATACTCTGACACACAGATACTCTCGGGCAGTGACTGACTGACACACATATACCAAGAAACGCGTTCACGAAGGCAACGAACAGCAAACGGACAACGAGTAGGAAACAACAAAAATAACATTGACGATGGGAATGTGAATGTGGATGTGGATGCCGACGGGGCCGAAGCGCGCAACGAGCTAACATGATGAAGGAAACAGGGACGAATCTCCTCGCAGGGAGAGGGACCCAAAACGAAACCAACGAACGATACAACTGTATCTCCGGCCTGGCCCATCGACTTTATCATCGTGTCCTTTCGCTGGGGAACTTGTGGTGTGTTCTCGTTTTGTGCGTTTGCATGTAAAAGAAAAACTGGCTCACTGTGCCGTATCTATGTCTGTATGTATGGCACATGGGTGCGTGTGAGTGTCTGTGTGAGTGTTGATTTGAACGAATGTATCTTTTAAATGAAAATTTCTGCAGCACCAGCAATTGAAAATCACAATTTTCTTTATAGATTTTCCTCTTGAAGATTTCTTAAATTAAATTTTTGTTAATTTATATTCCACGCGTGTTCCTTGAGAGCACACAATTTGAATTTCCATTAACAGGCACTCGACCACACACGCACACCTCAATCGGTCATGCTATTTTAATTTAATTTCCTGTGTATATGTGTGTATCGTATCGCACATTCTCAGGTTTTTCCGCAGACCGACCGACAGTACGTTTTCAACGGATACCGAATTTTGCACAATTGCCATTTCGTTTCCCAAAATGATGATCATAATTGGATGGGTTGGATTTGCGTCAGGCCATCCATATTTTTCTCCGTTTTCGTTTTCGCCCCGTAATTGGCATACGCAGTTGGAAAATTTTTCACTTTCCTATGTATGTGCGTGTGTGGGTGTGTGTACACGTCCATATACATATGTATATATATTAAAGGCAGTTTTCTTGACACTCCACACCAGCGCACTCACACACACTCACAATCACTCGAGACGCGCACGGACATGTGAAAACCAACCTTTCTCGTCAGCAGCGTATACAGTTCTGTTCTGCACGATGTGAACTCGGATGACTTGTAACTCGGTGCTTGGCACACGGTTCAAGCTCGTCTCTAAGCTTTTCGGAGTGTTTTAGTGGCATGGGTCGAGGGCATTTTCGGTTTATTAAAACTGGCGCCAAAATCCATGCAGTTTCTGTGGCCTGTGTAGGTGTGTGTTTGTGTAGCTTTGCCGTTAGCTAGTTTCCTAGCGCACGTGGCGTATGTGTAATAGGTTGGAGTTCAATAAATATTGCAGCATTTTAGGCGGATTTTGAATTATATTTAAGGTATGACACATATTTTAAGACTGTGTCACAGAGAAATTTACACAATCTAGGTGAAATCTAGTTTTTAGCTCGTGATGAGTTGACCATCTCCTCTTACTTTGAATTCGCATTAAATCCACACAATCTTTTTGGAAAATTCTAAATCCGCGAAAATATTTGGTGGACTAAAAATACAATTTGTTCATGGAATTCTCGTGTCATTACGATGGTTGTATCTGAAGTTACTCAAGACCTACATATTTAGTTGAACTGTCACTGCACTTCTTTAAAGTTTTGTCATGTACAAATTTTGGAATCAATTCGCTACCGTGTAGTTAACATGTAAATTGTTTTGTGCTCTTTTTATAAAGAATACTTTGGATATAATCCAATGAAAACCGGCTCTGAAATCTAAGAAATCGTATGGAAAATATATCCTTTTATTGGAGTAAAATATATTTGTAGTGCTGATGATCCTAGCTAGCTGGCGATACCAAACGGAATATCAAAATCGACTATTTCAATCAGTACGGTTAACCCATTGTTGAACAAATGGGTATTTTAAAGACACCCACTTAAATTATGAAACGCGATGAATTTTATGTTGGCTTGACTCCGCTATTTCAATTTTTTAATTAGATGGGATTTAAAAGGTAAGTTAAGTGGGTTAAGGAGAATTATTTATTTGATTCGTCATGCAACGGCCGTAGGCGGATACTTTGGGATATTTTAACTACCTCCCATACGCATGTTTTTCAAATGTTCCTTGAGGGATCCAACAAAGTCCTTATTAATCTTTAAGAGCAGCTTGGAAAACTGAATTAATTAATACTAAAATTAATTCATGAAAATAGGATATCCACACATAATATACCATACTACCGGCAGACAAGCAACAAGTTGTCAAATAACGAACAAAATTCTTTCCCACTCACGTAACGTTTTGTAATATTTTTTGTTGGTTGACGTTAATAGTTTGATCCCTATTTTGATAACAACCCAATGGAAGAACGTTATGAAAAGTAATTGTTTCATAAATTGGATAAAATTATAGTTTTAGTGCTGAGAGACCTACCTAGCTGGTAATATTAAATAGAATTGCAAAATCGAGGAAAATTATTTAAGATTTACGGTATATTTGTAAAATGACAAGTATATTTTGGTATATTTTTGAGGGTGGTACGGTATAAAATGATAGCATGATATTTGATAATCCTGCCAAGAAACCGAACATCCAATCCGAAACACTCAAGAGAAAAGCCGGAGATATATAAACAATCAACATGACAACTGCCGTGCTGGGCGGCGGCCTGAGTGGCCTCTCTGCCGGCTATTACCTGTTACGCCGGTTCGGCAATCCTCTGACCATCTACGAGGCCTCCCCGCGGGTCGGTGGCTGGATACGGACGGAGGCTCGCAAGGATCGCGACTTTATATTTGAGACAGGGCCACGCACTATACGTCCCGTGGGCGTGCCTGGAGCCAATACGCTGGAGCTGATGGAGGAGCTGCAGTTGCCACTGAAACCAATCCCCAAAAGTCATGTGGCGGCACGGAACCGCATGCTGTATGCCAAGGGCCAGCTGTGTATGCTGCCAAATAGTCCCAGAGGACTGTTTGGTGTCAAACCACCGTTCACGCAGCCCCTGTACAAGGCGCTGCTTCACGATCTGGCAACGGGGAGTACTCTGGCCAAGAACGAGGATGAGTCGATATACAGCTTTGCGGAGCGTCGCTTTGGCAAGGAGATAGCAGACTACGCCATCAGTCCCATGATCTGTGGCATTTGTGCAGGAGATGCCAAGCAGATCAGTGTTCGATTCCTAATGGACGGTCTCTTCGAGAAGGAACAGAAGTACGGCGGCGTTCTGAAGGGCACGTTGTATTCCCGCTTCAAGGAAAATGTAGACGAGAAGAAGGAGGCTCTGTTTGCCCAAGATCAGCCGAAACTCTATGCCCAGGCCCTGCAGGAGAAGTGGGCGATGTACAGCATTGAGGGTGGGCTGGAGGCACTGCCTTGTGCCATGCGCAAGTATCTCGGCCAGCGCGATGTCAACGTGCAGCTAAGTAATCAGTGCAAGAATTTAACATTCACAAAGAGCGGCGTACGCATGTCCCTACGCAATGCTGACGTCCCTGTGGATCATGTCGTGAGCTCCGTGCCAGCCCACAAACTGGCTCCACTCGTGAAGCAGCAGCACCCCTCGCTGTGCGAGCAACTGCTGGAGATTCCCTATGTGGATGTAGTGGTCGTCAACATTCAGTATGATGGGAACTTGCTCAAGCAGGATGGCTTCGGTCTGCTGGTGCCTCCCATCGAAAAGCTGCCCATATTGGGTGTTATCTTTGACAGCTGCTGCTTCGACATGAATGGCAACACGGTGCTAACCGTAATGATGGGAGGTCATTGGTTCGACCAATGGTTTGGCCATCAGCCCAGCCAGAAGGAGATTCTCGATACTGCCACCAAGTACGTTGGCCAGATACTCGACATTCAGGAGGAGCCCAAGTTCAGTCGCGTGCATATGCTGAACAAGTGCATTCCACAATACACTGTGGGCCACAAGCGACGCGTGGAGAGTATCCGGAAATATCTAAGGGACTACAAGCTGCCCTTGTCTCTATGCGGTGCTGCCTACGATGGTGTTGGCATCAACGATGTCATCTTGTCGGCTCGTCGTCAGGTGGATGCCATACCACGGTTCTAACTGCATTTCCGTTTAGACGCGCCCAGTTAAACGATTATTTGTATTGGCATTTTTTGTTTATTTCCTAAGCTGGTTTGTGAGTAGTATTCCTTTTGTACATAAAGATTCCAAGTAGCCTTTATCGTCGCTTCGTTTTACTTGCCAAAGCCTCCGAGGCACGGCGGACTCTTCTCTGGTTCCTGCTCAGGCTGCCACTGCTTTGGCGTTTTAGCCTCAATGGAGAGCGCGTGCATGAAGTCAAAGCCGGCAGCCTTCAGCGCGTTCTTCACTGTGTCGTTGACCAAACGATGGCGCTGCAAGATTTTCACAATTTATCTATTAAACACCCATTAAAATCTGATCACAAGCCCAGTACCTTGATCAGTGTCAGATCATTAAATTTCTCGGACACCACCAGCACTCGAAAGTGGGACTCGGATCTCTTGGGCACGTTGTGCTGGGGCGATTCGTTGATAACATCCAGGAACACTGGCTTCAGTTCCGTTGTCAGCGCCTTTCTCATGGCCGCCTCAATGGGTGGATACTGTGTCGCCTGCGACATGGTAGCCTTGGAGAATATGTGGCCTAGGGTGCTGCTTCTGGGGGCAAGTTGATTCAGACTTTGTGCGGAAACTCCAGCAAGACGACGAAAAGTAGCGGCAATCATGTTTTCCAGTTTAATTCACACACACACGCAGCTGTTCACGGTTACATAAACCAGCTGGGCACACAGAGCTGCATTCCGAGAATAGTTATCGAATTTGAATTTCTGATTGTGGGAAAATCGAAGGGAGGTCTGTTTTATATCTAAAATTACTTTATTTGGGGGCCAAAATCAACAGTTGACGCTTTCCGCGCACTAAAAAAGTGTCTTATGGCTAAAACAATTATGCGATATTTTGTATAATCCAACACATATTCGTTCACAGTCGATTCAATAGTCAACCAGTTTCTTGAGCTTTGGCGGTGCCGAGATGACGACACGTCCCCGACTTGGGCCACTGTTGTTCCCATCTCTATCCCGATCCCTGTCTCGCCCACCACGAGTTCTTTCCTCCTGCTGTTGCTGCTGCCGATGATGATGCTGCTGCCTGTACCGCTCACGCTCTCGATTCCTCTCCATACTCCGTTCGCGTTGTCGTCGGCGCCTCGACTGACTGCGACGGCTTCGTGATCCCCTGCGCTCGCGGCTACCACTACGCCGGCGGCTGTGTGAACGTCGCTTTCGGTCCACGCGGCTTCCGCTCCTCGAGCGCGATCTCTGCCTTCGATTGTACCTGGGACTAGGACTGCGCGTACGCCGCCGGCGCTCGGTTCGACTGTTGCTCCGCCTAGTGTGCTGCTCGACAGGACTCCGCTTGCGACTGCGTGATCTGCTGCGACTGCGACGAGCCGAGGGCTGCGGCAGCAGGCTCTCGGACGCATCCGACGCATCTCCATCACTGCCAGACAGCTTGCCACTGGAGGGTGTGCCGTATTTGTGACGCAACTCCCGACGCCTGTGAATATAGAGATGTGAGAGGACTGACCAAGAGCCACCCACAAGCACGATACCCACCTTCGGCGTAGCTTCAGCGCCAATTCGCGCATCTCATCCTCGCGCTCCTGCTGCTGCTGTCGCTCCCGCTCTGTCTTCTCAATCTCAGCTCGCTTATCGGCCTTATCTGAAATAATTATTCCCTGTTTAGTATGGATGCCGGGCCGTGGGGTATTTACTAATGCATTTGGTTAACATCACACTACTACACTCCGAAGTGGCTTACATTGCCGATTGAGCAGGTTCTGCATTTTCCGCTTAAGACGCTCGCGCAGATTGGGTCTTCCACTGCCACCGCCACTGTTGCTGGCCGACTGTCCATGCCCAGAGTGTCCCTGTAAAAAGCACCCCAAACGCGCATTTAGCAAGTTTCAATTAAAGATTTCAAGGGGGGGGGAGCAGTAGGAGTCAGTTGCGGTCGAAAGTGCTGGTGTTCTGTCCGACAAAAAACTGGACACAAAACGGAGCGATTGTACTAAGTAGTCACATAGTCAAAGGTCCTCCTAGAGGTGATTTTTTGATTTCTCATTGGTTTCGTTTTGGTTTTTGGATTTTTAGCAGGTTAAAGGTTAAGAGACGTGAAAATTTTGGTGGTGTACTCCGGTTAAGTGGGGCAATGAGACACTTGGCTTTGCTTACTGACTTTGGTTTCGGTAGCAGAACTATATTTGCCTGTTTGATTACCCGTGCTGCATGTTGACGACATCGCTGGGTGGTGGAGCGCATGCGATCGCTCTGACCTGAAAAAAATACGGAAATTCGTTTAGTTGACACTCGAAGATTGACTTTTAAATGTGTGTGTGGTTCTGCCTCTACTTTACCGCTGGCGCTGCATCACCAAACTTACGCAGTGTCCGCTTCCATTTCATCGGAATCATCGGCTTGTGGCTTGTTGCTTGCCGCTGGCTGCAGTTGTTCCTCATTGCCACTGGCCTCGCTGTTATCGCCGCCGCCCGTTGACGATGAGGAGGAGGTATCATTGGCTCTTTTCCGGCCATAGTAACGTTTGAGTGGCGGCGGCGGTGCCTCCACCACTTGCGGCAGTGCAGGTACAGGCACTGTGGGAGCTGCTGGAGCTGCTGGAGTCGTCGTGGTCAAACCGAGGACTCTCGTGGACAGCGGATAACTAATCATGGGTGGAGGTGGCGCCCTTGGCTGCTGTTGCTGTAGCAGCTTCACTGCTGTCAAAGTGGATGTGGTTGTTGTTGTGGTTGTTGTACTCAGGCAGTAGCCGCCTCCCGCCGCAGGAGGAACCGGGGATGGTGAGGTCTTCTTCTTGGGGCGGCTACGACGGTCGGAATGGGAGCGAGAACGCGAGCGACTGCGTCTTCTCCGTCCCGCTTCAAAGGAACTGGCACTGGAACTGCGCGAGGAGTAGGAGTAGCGCTTGCGCGATCGCTTGTAGCTTGGACTGCGGCTCTTGTAGCGTTTCCACGATCCAGAGCGAGAGCGGGAACGGGTACGAGACCTCGATCGGGACCTAGATCTAGAATAGTATCTGCGACGACGGCGTGACCGTGTCCGGCTGCGTCTGCGGTAGCTGCGACTTCGTCGATTGCGTCGTCGGCTGCCGCTGCGACTCCTGCTACCGGATGCACTGCGGGAGCGTGAGCGAGATCGCGTCCGACGGCGACCACTGCGCTTGGTCGTCTCATTCATCAGCTTCAGCTTGTCGAGATTATCCTTGACCTTCTGGGCATACGAGACGGAGCCACCAGCACCGGAGCTGGCAATGGCCGCCCCAGTGCTGGCATTGATGCAGGATTCGCCCAGCGTGGGACCGGGCTTGGACAAATTGATGGTGATTTTTGAGTGCGGCTGCATTTCGTCCTCGCCTCCAAATGAGGTAATGTAGGTGATCTTCTCGGGCCCAGCCTCGGCCGGGGAAGGTGAGCGCGAGTCGCTCTCTTCATCCTTTTCATTCTTGCCACCCTTCTTGTCCTCCTTGGCCGCATAACTGGGCGGGCTAAAGGGCCTATTGGCAATGCGTCGCTCCTTTTGGGCCCGTCGCTCTCGGCGCGACTTGCGACCACTGAGCAGCATCTTCTCCTGCTCCTCTTCGCGCGCAATGCGCAGGGCATCCGCCTCGTCTGCATCTTTTGTAAGATGCGAAAAGAAATCATTGCTCTTCATGCCATAGTTTCGGCCACACGCGTTCAGCTCGTGGGCCTGCGCCGTGTCCAGCTTCCCAATGTCTATGGACACGTCCATGTCGATATCCGAGTCGGATTCATCGGAGCCCTCGCCCTTGTCACCGCCGCCGGCTGTGCCGGTAACAATGGCCCCTGCCGCTGGCGAGTTCATGGAATGCCCAAAGGGTTGTGGTCCAATTGTGGCTGCTCCCGCGTCGCCTGCATCCTCATAGGAATAGCCAATGGTGGCACCTCCCGTCTTCTGCTTCTTCTTGGCCAGATTGCGTTCCGCCTCCAGCTGTGCATTGGCCCCGAACTGCTCCTCGAGGTACAGCTGGTGCAGAAACTTGTCCTCGCTGACATTGAGGAAATCGTTTTGGGCCAGAATCCGATAGCGTTCGTAGTTCAACTGCCGCTCCTCGGCCGTCATATCCGTGTTCGCATCGCCACCCTCGCCGCCCTTGCCCACTGGCGGAATGTGGTCCAAATGGGCGCGCACATCGAATCGATCTATTAGATTGTCCTGCTGCCCCTGCCACGGCACACTGCAATGAAACAAGAACGTGTTCAATTCTCTTCGCCCAAGACAGGAACTCCAGCAATAATAATTCCTGAAGTAATCAAAAAAGAAAGAATGCTATGCATAAACTCAATATCACTTGCATGATGGCGGCACCATCGCCCGCTGCCGCTACCGCTGGGTCCAGGTAAATCTTGCTCCGTCTGCCATGCAGCTGCAGGAACTGTGTGGGATCCGCTTGGATTTTGTCGTAGAAGTATTGTCGCCGTTCCGCTCGCTTGCGGTAGTCCACAATCAGGCCGCGTATCTTGCGCTCCTGCTTGCGCGCCTCATGCCACATAATTGCACACGCGACAACGCACTTATTTCTCTCGTGAACTTCTTTAAATCCCGCAAACAATTAACATTTAAATATTTTCGCTGGGCCCCAGCAAGAGCTTTTGCTGCAACCACGCCCCTCCAATAGTTATATTGATATTTGTAGGCCGATTTTACCGGCTTTTTTTTTGGGGCACGTCCGAAGTTGTGAAGTTTTTTTTTATTGTATTTAATCGCTACAGCGGTCGCAACCGCGAACTTATCGATCAAATATACCGCACAGCCCTCAAAAATATACCAAAAATTACCGTCTCATTTTCAAAATATACCGTAAATCTTAGATCAATTTCCTCGATTTTGAACTTCTATGTGATATTACCAGCTAGTTAGAACTCTCAGCACAATAACTCTAATTTTATCAGATAGATGAATCTTTTTACTAGAGCATTGCCATATTTTCAAGATTCTCAAACCGTGAGTGGCCAAGAAATGAATCGCTAGTTCACTCACGGCTAACGATTTTCAGGACTATACTTGCATTTATACAATCATTTCTAGTTTATTAACAATTCAAGTATTCCAAGGAATAGCAAAAAACGCTTATTGGACTCCAAACAAACCTCGAAATGTTTTCGCATATATTTGAACCAGCGTACGTTATTTATTTTCGTTGCTGGCAGTGCCGCTGGGCGGGAACTGCGGCTGCGCCTTGGCTTGGGGGATGATGGGAACATCAAGACAAAAGGATAATAAATAACTAGCAAAACTGGAATGAGCCACAACACAACAATTGTCTCTCGCCGCCTTTTGCGGCATCGATTTTAAGGAGACACAACCAAACGCACATCACATCCTTTGCAGATAGGACAGCAGGACGGCAGGACAACAAGGAGACTGGGATTTAGCAAACTAGAACAAGTCCAGCACGTTTGCGGAACCAGTTTTAATGTCAGATAGACGTTACTATTTCACATCAGAGCAACGATACAACACCCCGGGCGACGTGGACAATGATTGTGCTGATGATGGGCTTTTGTATCCTCGCCGGGATAGCAACAATGACAACGAGAACGACAACGACAATGGGGCCAATGCGGACAATGAGCCGGATGCGGACAAAGACGACGACTTGGAGTTCCTGCAGGACGTGCCCTACTCATCCAGCAGCATTGACCGCAGCTCTGTGGGCTCCATACCCTGGGCAGACGATGCCATCAAGAAGAACCTGCTGGACTGGGAGCGGGTGGAGCGTATGCTGAGCGGTGAGGAGGTGCTGCCAGAGCAGGAGCCAGAGCTAAGGCACGAGATCGCCGATTGGCAGCACAAATTCCCCATGCTGATGGGGCGCAAAGTGCGGATGCGGTCACTGCGCCATCAGAGCTTCGACAGCCAAACGCGGCGCGACGATGAGTCTGTGGACATAGATTCCATTTCAAATCTCAGTCTGAACTCGCTGGACGATGATGACGATGAGGATATTGAGGACGATGGCTTTCGTACGCCGACAGCAGAGCCCCAGCACCAGCAGCACCACCAACAGCCTCGGAGTTATCTGCGGCCCACCCACAATCTGGTGGACATTCTGGATCGTGATCTGCGTGTCACTTCAGTGTCGGTGAAGCTGCTCAAGCGACAGCGCTCCCAGCAGCAGCAGCAACCCCAAGCGCAGCTGCCCCCAAAACTCAGCTCTGCGGTGCCACAGTCGGCACGCCTGCGGATGCCGCCCATACTAAACGTCCTGGACACGAATCGTCGGTTCCGCGGTCTCCTCAACAACCGCAGTTTCGTGCAGCTAACGCAGGTCCAACAACAACAGCAGCAGGCCAAATCGGCTGCCCTTACCCATGCGAGCAGTGCAGAGCGAAGACAGTATCACCATCACCATGCGGGTAACCGCTCGGCCTGGCACATGCCGATGGCCGCGAGCCGATTCTTTTCGAACAACAAGAATGCCATTGTGCTGCCGTCACTGAATCTGAGCCGGCACAGGGACTACGGCAGAGCAACAGCCGCCACCACAACGGCCACATCCAGCCAGACCAATTCAAGCGGTGGCGGTGGCCACAACAGCAACAGTTCCTCTCGCACCCTGCATCCATTCGCGCTGCCTACGAACTCGAGCAACACACCGTCGACGGGTCGCTCGATCTCGGCAGCAGTGCACCATCCTCGGTCGGAGTTTGCCTCCAACAGTGCCTTCTACATACCGTACAGTGCCTCAAAATTCAAAGCCTTCAAGTAACCTCATGCCATGTATACAACAAGCAATAAAACTGAACTTAAATGAGACTTTATTCGGAATCTTTTGCAGAGGGAAGCTACAAGCCAATGTTGTCCAATCGCAGACGGCCATCGTGTTCAGTAAGGTAGAGGGTATCGGCTAAGCATTGCTCCGTAATCAGCTCCTCCACACGATCGTTCATCTGCATAGGAGAGAAGATTATCAGTAATCGGTAAGGTGCATTGGCAGGTGTAGGACTCTTTTGCTCACCCCTTTAGCTTTACGCTCGCCAAGAACCTCGGGATACTTAAAGGCTGGGCCAAAGTTCACGCTGACAGTGGCACTCTTGTGTATGGATATGGCGGGGAAATAGCTACCCGCATAGATGTCCTCGAAGGCCACACCCTGCGACTCTCCATTCTTGAAGAACTCGATGCGGCTGCCCTGCAGTATGTGAAGATTCTTGAGCGTTTCATTGATCTTATCCTTGTCCTCGTAGTACAGATGGGACTTGAACTTCACCAGCGGCTGCAAAGGATTTTAAATTAGCAATCGTCAGAAAATTGGGTATGGCTGAGAACTTACCCGATCCTTGAATGTGTTCGGCAAATACTCCAGAGATGCCTCCTCGGGCAGTTCAATGAGAAGTCCCAGGGTATCGCCTTCGACATAGGATTGGCTGTAATGCTTGCCATGGCTCTCTGTGAACTTGGTGCCCTTACGCGATCGCCAGGAGTAGCCGAACTTATCGTAGCCCAGCGGGGCCTGTAGATTTCCATACTCTCGTCCCCAGCCCAGGCGCGTGGCAGCTCCCTCGGGCATCTCCTCGATGGTGATTTCGTAGTACCAGCAGCCTCGATTAACCGCTGCAAAAGGGAGATTGAATCTCTGCTGGGGGTCTCCATTCTTATGCCTACTTACAGTGTGTGGCCCGAACCATGCAGTATCCACGCTCACCCGTCACCGCCAGTCGATCTTCGCTGATCTTCAGCTGCGGCGCCCGGTCGTGCAGCGCAAGCAGCACCGCATGGGGCACCAGGGTGCGGTACAGCCAACCGGGTATGGGCTTGCCCGCCCAGTCTGAGCTCTCGTCAAACTCTTGCCTGAATGGAGCATGCGGATCGGGCTCGGCCAGTATGTAGCGATAGCCGTCCTTGTTGAACGGATGTTCTAGAGGATAGCCATGTGGTGGCAGCTTCACGTTGGCAGTTATGTCGGAGCTGGGGCGACCCTTCTTCCCTGTGGGTCCTGAATCGGTGCCAGGAAACTTCCGCTTTTGCCTGTTGTTCTTGGCAAGATTTGCTGCGGGTAGGAAGGGGCGAGAGAGGGGAAGGCGTTAACTGCTGGTAGGGCGTACGTGACCGGCCATAAAAGGGATTCGGGCAAAGTTCGTTTCGAATTGCAGTTGTTGGCTTACATTCCTCCTCGTTGCCGCTAGCCAACGTTGACGTCATTGCAGGACACACAAATGACAAAAACAAGCACAAAAAAAAACCGAGGAGAAAAGAAAACCCAAAGAGAGAGGAGAACAAACTACAAATTGCGTCGCGCTCAAAAATCAAAACCAAAAATCAAATTAAAATCAATTCCACACACACACGCAGAGCGCGGGCCGGCGAAGCGAGCAAAATATACAACAAAATAAAATCGTAACTATTCTTTCTGTTTTGCAATGAATGAATTCTGAGAGGAGTGCTTGTGTTTGCCCCACCCCGCCCCACAATCTGAGTACGTGGGGCCTACCAGATGTGCGCCGGGGCCGACGGGCCAAGGCAAGGTACCCGAGTTGAAGGTAGGGCAGTGCCACAGAGGGTGCATTTTTTAAAGACATTTGCTCGGACCCATGACAGGATGATGGAAAACACCTTTACACTACCACATGTACTACATCCGTATTTCTATGTTTTGGATTCAAAACGAAACAGAGTGAGTGAATTAGCAACAATAGGTCCCCGGAATGAGGGACGCCCTTACCTTCTACTAGGCTTTTCCGTTCCACTGGCTCTCTTTCGGTATCTGTGTTTTGGCTCAACTTTAGCATGGCGTGTGTATGTGTGTGTGTGCAAAAAAAGCTGCGAAACGATCTTTCTTTCTCGCTTTTACAATTCGCAAAACATACAAGAGATTGGAGACTGGGAGATAGAGAGAGAGGGCACGTTTGTTTGGGGAGATGGGAGACAGTATGCAAAGCAGAACGAGCAATAAATGCTGCAACTTCAGAAACGAGACCCCCAAATCAGCTGTGCAGACAGTGTTGCCAGTTTATCTTTTTCGTACAAAATTGTTGGCCCAGCAACCTGTGGAATTTGGCACAGTCTTACTCTAGAGTGCATGTCATCACCAATCACAAGATCAGATATTATCTGATCCATATATAATCTTTCTGTCACTCTCACCTTGCGTGTAGCCATCCTCTGTGAGCCGCAGTGCACCCGTCTTGCTCATGCTTTCATAGTTGGGCTTGATGAGCCGCAGATCCTGATGGAACAGACCGTACATGGCACCGTGCTCCAAATGCTCCTCGTAGGTGAATAAGGTCTGCACATCCTTGACCAGGGAACGCTGTACGGTGCTGTACCAGGACTGTGTGAGCCGTCGAGGCATTGTGGTCATGGCCTCCCAGTACTGCTCGATGTAGGGAATGATCTCCTTGTCCTTACTAAATTGGATCTGGCGCTTGCCATCGCGCGAGGCCGCCTGCTGCATGTTGGCAATGGCACAGTGACACATCTGGGAAATGGCTGAAAAAGACAATCCATGTACATTTCTGTGGCTAAGTCAAGATGTATTCCACTTACTGGCCTGGCTCTTGCGGAAGTTCTCCATACCCGTGGCGGAGCAGTTCTTGCAGACGAACACATAGTTGGTGATGAATGGCAGCAGTTTTCCCTTGCCCAGCTGATAGGACACGCAGGACTCGTGCACCCAGCGTGAGCAGGTGGCACAGAGCAGCTCGACGAGGTTCAGGTTGCGCTCTTTCCCGCTAAAATGCAGAGTGCTCTTATCATTTGGTCGCCTAATTAACAGCGATGCGATGGTCATACCAATAGCAAAAGCCGGCCGCGGCCGCTCGCTGCTCCGTCGATTTTTCCTCTTCTGTCGGAAAATTAACATCGGAGCTGGACTCTGTGGGTGAGCTGGTCTCCATTGGGCTCTCTTCCATGGCAGTGTATAAAATCAGTCTTTCTTTTTAATTCACAAAATCATGTAAACAATGATAAAAAGTCGCCAAGTGAGACCATGTCGCAGGGCTGCACAACCATCGATGGTATCGATTGTTTTCTTTTGGCCATCGATATATATGAGAATATTTTGGATTCCAATATATAGTGTAAGGTAATTGCACTTCAAAATTAATCTCTCAGCGGTAAATGTTATAATTTAATGAGACACAACTGCGATGAAACTCAATGGCCTTTCAGCCCTACCAAGTCTGGCCACGTTCACGAATGCAGCAGAAATAGCACAATTTCATAGAAAAAATACCAAAAATAGTGACTGCTAGGACATCGATTGGTAACCATCGAAATTTCGCGATACATCAAAACACTTTTTATACGGTTTGACAACTCTTACCCTGCCTCTCCGCCGCTCGTCTCTTACTTCGCCTGTATATATTCACATATATATTAGTACATATATATGCCTAAGTGTAAAATTTAATTTTTTTGTTGCTGAAAATTACGTTTTTTTATTCTCGCGAGAGCGCAGGTACACGAAGCGTAGTTATAAATGGAATTGAACGTTTGTCGTGAGCGAGTGAAGAGAACGAACACAAGCGCACCAGCAGCAGCCGCAGCAGAAGCAGAAGCAGCAAATTCTCCAACACGAATCTAGAGGAAAAGCGGCCGCAGCCGCCGCCGCCAATAGGGACAAGTCGCAACGCGGCTTTTTCTTTGTAGGGTACTCTCCCCTCGCTCTCGCAGGGCCTTGGAACTAGTGCACTATGTGCGAGGTTTGCACTGATTTCCAGAACCTCCTGGAGCTGTGTAAGTATCGCTCGGTGCTCGGCGAGCCGACGACTAGCAGCCCCCGCCCCACCCCCTTCCGGCAACAGCCAACTGAATTTTCCGTTTTTCGTCCTCTTCCAGATGAGGCGCGCGTGGCCAGCTCGGAGCTGAAATTCCAGCTGCTGTTGAAGAGCGAGATCGAGACGACATTCAACTATATCCAGTCATGGCCCCAGCGTCAGTGCATGTGCCTGTATCGGGACAACAAGAACTACGACCGCTTCAATCTGGTGGTGCAGTCCCTCATCTGCCTGACGGTGCAGCATCTCAAGCACATCGATCACCTGATTGAGAACTACAAACGTCTCACGGCCAGTGCCGCTCAGGTGGTAGCTCAGGCCCAGCAGCAGCAGCAACAAAAACAGCAGCGGGACTCCAGCAATGAGTCGGAGTCGCCGTCGTCTGAGAACGAGAA